CCCCCCTCTTTCCCTCTCTCCCTCCATTATCGATTAAAAACTTCATTCCGAAAACCGTAGGCTCGCTCAAAGTGTTTGCTATTTTTACAGGCTCAAGGCCTCGCTATTTATTCTGCAAGTTTCGTAGAACTTCATAAAATTCCGGGGAATCAGAAATGGATCTAGAATCTAGAATGGCGGCAACGAAAGTGAAACTAGAACCTAAATTTAGGCTAAGATACACAAACAACGAACTGAAACCAATCGATAACATTTTGGCTGCCTGCTCATTGCTGCTATTGATAACAAACGTTTCATATCCTCTTTTTAAAGCTCTGTGAACAAAGGATATCAGAACAGTTTCATTAGTACCAGCGAACTTGATTTGACATCGTGTGCCGAGTCGGCCGGACGCAGACTCAGACTGACTCAGTGACAGAACACCATCCCTAGATATCTAACTATCGTAAGTGAACAGTGAAAGTGAAAGTGAAAGACATTAGATGTAGCCTAGACTAGATCAAGATGTCTTGATCTAGAATCTAGATCTAGATTTAGAGTCTAAATGTATATTTAGATCTATTATAATTGAAATTATTTTTTTTGTTAAAGTGAGGAGTTCTGGTTGGTTTTTTAATTTGAGCAGTGTCGAAATAAGGTGCGGTATTATTTTCGCAGTTGGCTACGTTCACAGCACTGTGAACGTAATCTGCAGGCTACATTCACGGCACCATGAATGTAGTTGGCAGGCTACATTCACGGCGCCTTGAATGCAGTTTGCAGGTGCTGTTGTTGAGGCTACGTTCACGACTCTTCTAAAGCTTCGTTTGGGGGGACCGTCCTCTCCCGGTTTAAGTCAGCCGGTTTTAGTCATTGACGACAGTGACGGTTATTTAATATTAAATTTTGGCCAGCTCAAGTGTTCCATCCCATGAGATGAGGCACTCCTGTACAATTGCGGTCTCGTTTAGGGATACTCGCTTTGACCCCACCAACGATTACTTCTGGTTCTAAACTATTACTTTTTTTTGATGCGCGTGCCGATAGGCTTCTGGAGAGATAACCAATCAAACCTAATTGCAAGACATGTTTCTGTTAGGTGGTCATGGGGGCAAGCCCCCCTGAAACCCCCCTTGCCTTTGTATACAAGTGAAATTTTACTGCTTATTTTGTAGGCTATATCTACGGACAAAAAATCGATATCGAATGTTTTAATCAGTATCGATATCCAGTAGTCTTTGCTTGTGTGTGATTTAGTGCTAGAACTAACGGGACTGAAATTGTACAGGAGTGTCTGAGATAAAGGAAAACGAAGCGCCTTTACAGAATTAAAGTCGGGATATGGGATATGGAAAATTGGATACGGTAGGTGGGAAACAAGAGGTGAGAGATGGGAAACAGATATTCAAATGATGGGACTGGTCATAAAATGTGTACAATGGTTTTATTGCACCGGGTCAGCCTGGGAACCGATGCAGAGAGAAAATGACGGGAATCAATTATTCTTATATAATAACAAACACCTCTCTCTCTCTCTCTCTCTCTTTCTGTCTGTCTGTCTGTCTCTCCCCTTTCTCTTTCCGTTCTCTCTTTCTCTCCCCCCTCCTTCTCTCTCTATTTTTCTCTGTCTCTGTCTGTCTCTCCCTCCCTCTTTCTCCCCCCCCCCCCCTCTCTCTGTTCTGTTTCTCTCTCTCTCTCTCTCTCTCTCTCTCTCTCTCTCTCTCTCTCTCTCTCTCTCTCTCTCTCTCTCTCACACACATACACACTGCCCGCAGACAAAATTGCATGCTTTCAAGTCGAGAGCGCTGGAACGTTTTTTTACGCTCGTATATTTACGGGCCGTCACGCGTTAACACAATGTCGCGCCCAAGTCTCGCCCGGACACGAGATAGGGCAATTGAAAAATCTTGGTAGGCGTATACATTTTTGTCATATATCCTAATGCATTGTTGCGTAATTGAGAGTTCGTCGTTTTCCCTTACTCTGGTGAGCTCGAGCTCTGAGCCAGAGCTCAGTTGAAGGGAAAACGACGAATGGTCGATCGGTCAAAGGATCACTGCTTCGTTTTCCTTCATCTCATAGGATGTAACTCTTGAAGCAGGCCAACATATTAAATATACATCACTGTCGTCACTGACTAAAACCGGCTTACTTTTAAACCGACAGTGGACGCTCCGTTTAAACGAAGCTTGAATGCCGTGACTGTAGCCCCAACAGCGCCTGCAATCTGCATTCAGGGCGCCGTGAACGTAGCCTGCAGACCTCTTTCATGGCGCCATGAACGTAGCCACTGCGTATTATTTTATTTTCCCTCCCGTCTCATGCTTTAGACTTTGGGCATTGTAAATTGTTTGTGTTGCTGAAACTGTCCACTACTGTCTTTCAATCTTCACGATCTTTTATCATGTTTTAAACTACTTCCCATTTAAAATGGCTTTTTAAACTACAGATGATAATCAAGTGATATACGCCTGAAGTATTCAATTACTATTATATTAGTAGATCTGGATCTTATTAACATTAGGTTTTGAAATGCTTGATGTTTTTTTCCTTTTCAAACTAGGCCTAGATCTAGAGTCTACATCATGGTCATGATAAGCCTGAATACACAAACAGTAATTTCCAAGCTTTGGATCACCCGGCCTTGGGAAGGGGGGTGGCAGTCAGGAGGGGGGATAATAAGACTCAGAATAAGTTACTGTGCAAAATACGAAAACTTCTGATTCCCCCAGCTTTTCCCCAATTCCTATCGGAGAGGAATCAAATTCAGAGCTTGTTGCATTGCTATGCATGATGTTGGAAAATTGAAAGTTTTAGCCTTGTTATTCAAAATTTTACAAATATTTTGCATTTTGATTTGTCAAGTCACAGTCACTTGAAATTTCCAGTGGTGATTGTTGGATCAAAATGTGGTCGGTCAGGGACTTAGAATTGAGGTTAGGTTGAGTTCAAAAGTAAGATTTCCTTGGTTCAGAGGAAAGCCTGGATATGTGTGAGTGAGTGTGTATGTTTGTGTATGTTTGCATGCAGCTGCAGAAAGCAAGACATTCCTTATGAGGGCCCAATGAGTGTGCTGTGGGGAAAGCGTGTCCCAAACTTGCACCCCATTGTCAGGGCTTGCAGAACATGAGTGCTGTCCACCACAGTTTTTGTGAGTTCTTCAAGAAGAGTGTCATAAAGAAAGGATGGTTGCAAAGGGCTCATCCTTTGCTGAGCCCTTAGAATTAAAACTTTAAACTTTTGATTGGCTGTTAGGCCGTTAGGTTATTATTGTTATACATTGTAATTGGTGACAACAGTGATTGGATATAGGAGCATGTGAGATTGTTCACTGCGTGCAACTAGAGGCGGAAGATTCTAAAGAAGTCATAATGGTTTCAACTGATTATTTTATTAAAAAACATTCAGTTGCATTTAGGGCAAAGGGAAAGAGTTGAGGTAGGGCTGAAATCCTTTAGCCCTTCACTGCACTGGAAATTTTTTCATAGGGCATTATGCTATCACTTTTCTTTTTTTGTGTTCTCTTAGTTTGTTTTGGGTGACCTGTCATCTTTCATCTCAATAGCTAATACTTACCACAGTCATTATTATGATACTACCATCCTCTCTTTTACAGCTACCATTTTCCTGATTTGAATTAAAAAATATACAATGACACAACGTTGGTCAAATGTATAAAAATAGCAAAATGGGATGCATGTCGTGCTCAGCTGTTAAGATTTCATTGGTGCAGGGAAAAAAAACCTTGATTTTTTGTTGAAAACCTTGCTTTTTTAAAATACTGTTTTTACCCAAAAGTGGGTCTGCACATATCCCCATTGTTATACAATGTATTCTCAAAATGTTTCTTGATGTGATTCTTTTTCTTTTGCTGTTCCACAAATGATATTGCTTTTATTTTTTGGTGTGATTTAGATGTGCATACATGTCAAAGCATTTTTTTCTTTTCTTCTTCTTGTAGGGGCATGCCATCAGTTGAAGAAAGCCGATATCAGCTGAAATTAGACATTGTGAGTTTCTTGTCGAAATGTCCGAAACAGAAACATCACGAGGGAAAATTTTGGAACAGATTGCAGACGTTTACTGGGAAACCGCTTTTAAAGAATAGGTATGGTGTCACAAAGCTGAACAAATTTTTTGAAATTTTTGATGATGTGATTTTTAAAGAAGATCGTTTTATTTGTCTTCGAGGTGATAATGACTCATTGGATGAGTCGAAAGATATAAATACCCAGGGTTCTGAAGCAAGCGGAGGAGCAGTAAAAATGTTTCCTTCTCAAACTGCTTCAAATGGATACGCAGATGGAACGTTCGAGGATCGTATGGTATCTGTGCTTAAAGCTCATGATGGGACTTGTAAAATTTGGACATTTTTGGATGCCTATTGCTCTGCGTACGGGAAGATTCCTACACACCCAAGAAACTGGCCTGTGGAGAAAGTGATCACCAGAGACTTTTATGATGTTGTTTCTTTAAACGGAGACGTCTTGTCTCTGAAATCAAGAGGAGCGAGTGCGAAGGGTAAGCCTGGAAGTTCCAAAAGTTCTGTATCAGCTGCACCCTGGGGCTCTGCAGCTCGGACAGACTTTGCGGCAGGTACGTTTTCTTTACGTTCTGTAATGGCATTTGAATCATTTGAAGGATGCTTAAATAGAGTTAAATTCTGCTTGCTATTGATACTAACCTTTACAGCTCCAGTCATGTATATTTCCCTTTCAGGGCACCGGCCACTTCAAACCCGTAATCTGTCCAATTTTCTTTGAAAATTTCAGAAAAATATACTTCATGTTTAATTCTAAAATGTCAAACTGAAGCAGTGTATGAAAATTTTTTTTAATGTCTGCAAAAAATTACACACTCACTCAGTATTGGCTGAGCCTTTGGAGTCAAGGACTTAGTGTTACCAAAGAGTCTACATAACAAGAGGGTCCACTCCTCTCTTTGAGCCAATTAAAAAAGTGTCTTCAAAATTCGGTGGCGCCCTCTTCGCAAATGCGCACTCTTTGCGAACAGAGTTGCCCTACTTGTGTTAAAAAAATCAAAGTGAAAGTAACACGTTTTTGAATAAATAAGAATTCAAATTTCGGAAGAACGCTTTAAAAAAATGCTTACGCTGACAAAAAACCTTTTCCGGAGGAAGGGGTAACTATTTTCTGTGTTTAATTTGACTTTAGAATGAAAGATGAGAGGTCATTAAAATAAAAAAACCCCTAAAACTCCGCCCTGAACGAACCCGAAATGCTTATGAACAGCAGTAGATCCACGCACGCAAGGAGGTGCTATTCCTATTCTTCTTCTGGAGAAACAAAAGCAAGTTTAAAAACAGACTGCAGCGCCTTCTGAAGCAAAGAGCGGACTTCCGGCGGACAATTTTTTGGCTAAGTGGACCATCTTGTTATGTACTATCTTTGGTATTAACTGGGCAAGAGGGAAATGTGGGCTGAAAATAGCCTGGTGCTGTAAGGGTTAAGAAAGATGTTTTTCTTTCCTCAATGGCTTTTCAAAAGTTGCTAGTTGTAAATACTGTTTTTCAGTATACTTTTTCTTGTCTTCCCTGTGACCTGTTTGATATGTCATGCTCTAAAACTCGAATAGGCATTTGAATTTCTAAACACGGCCGTGCATTTATTTGTAACATAATTTTTGTATTAGGTCAACAAATGCATTTTCGGATTGTTTAAAAATCAGACGATAATCAATCAGGTCTTGTAAAGTTTTCCAGCTGAAAACGACTGCCCTAAGACATGTTGTTGGTTTGGGTGGGGGGAGGATAAAGTTACACATAGGTTGAGGAATATCTAACTTTCGTATTGTTTCATGGGTGTGTGTTAACGGGTCGTGAAAAAACGCTGGATAGTTTTTTTTACGGAGGATAATGGATGCTAGAGACTTTCACGGGAAGTGTGTCAAATCTGGTTAGCGGACAGTTTGGATAATGCCAAGATTTTTTGAAATCCTGAGTTGTGTGGAAGATATCTGGATTGTACTGCACTTGAAATAGTCACTTTATTTTTGTTTTCGTTTTCGTGAGAATAGTTTAGAACAAATAACACACTTCATAACACTGTGCTGTGTAAATGTATGTGAAATTTCCAGGAACCAGGACAAAAAAGAGCCAACCGACCCCTATAGTCATTGATTCTGAGAGTGATGATGAAGATGATGGAAAGGAAACTCTGTCCTCATTCAAGAATTCCGCAGGATTTATTGCTTTCTCCAGTAAGATATGTTTTATAGGAAGAAAATGATACTGAAACTATTGAGGCTGAAATTTTTGTTTGGCATTTCTATGAATTTAGATATAGGATAAATAGACTAGATGTGCTTTAGCTATTTTTAGCTCCTGGTGTGTTTCCTATAAATAAATTTATTGGTATTTTGGATTTTGGACTTTCATTTTCGGATGAATTGGAGAGTTTTTCTGCTAAAGGCCTATAAAACACCAAAGCTTTCAGTGGCCGTTTCAGTTACTTTATTTCCCTTGTTTGAAGGAGATTAACTACATTGTATTTAGCTGTGTATTGGTAGACTGTAAAGATTTTGTGTTATATCACATAATATGTATACACTGTATGAAGCAGACTACAAAAAAGGTAAGGAAAGTAGAACTTAAATTTACACCTGTCCAAGACAATCACGTGTACAAGCAACGACTTCCCACTTACTCCTCTAGCTTTTTTTCTGAAGTTATAATGGCCCTGTCCAAGACGTCTACCTGTCTAAAACAACACTGTTTACTTTTAATTTCTCCACGACAGTGGGTGGCTGCCTTGAACAATTTTGATTGTATTTTGTGACATTCTTTTTTTAGAAGGCACTGGTCGACGCTTACTTTTTTTCTTACTTTGTACTTTAACATATTACTCCCATGTATGTATCCTGAATATTTTTGTGTCTTTAGTTAAAGTCTGCTATATTTATGTTTGTTGCTCTCTGTACACAACTGTTGGAGGCCGTCAGCAGTAGGTCCTACTTCTGTTCTTTCCCTTTATTGCTTCTATCTGTCTGTCTGTCTTGGATTTTCCTTTTTCTATTGCCGTGTAGAAATGCTTTTTTAACTTAAAAAAAAAAAAGAATTCTGACAACTGAACTGTGTTAAAAAGAGGTACTGACGTTTCTCTGAAAAATATGTTTCACTGAAAAATATGGGAGTCAGCGTGGTGATATCAGGCGCTTGTCAAAATAATGAAAGTCAAGAAATTGTTTTTTTCCCCACAGGTTTGGAATTTTAAAATCTAATTTTTGTTTTTTGGCTCAACACCTTTCACATACCCATTATCGATCACATTTCTGTGTGGATTTTACTGAAAAACATTGAATAAAGGCATAAAAAATGTAAATTTTCAGTTTTCACTTACCCTTAAGGTAAAGAAATAATTCAACTTTGGCGGCCATTTTCTCATTAATCTTACCTCTGAAACCAGACAACCTCCACCTCCTTCAATCACCAATGTCTTGACTTGTATCCAACTTACATGGTAATTTTTTTCATCGTAAGCAAGGCAAATGGACAGGTTTTAAGCTGATACCAATAACTCCATATCCATGTCCCAAAATTGATGAGCACCTAATTCCACCGCGTCATGACACATATATCTCCTTGATCTATATACAGTAGTCTCCGCCTAAGATCCCGGTGCTCGGGAGCAAGGAAAATAAGGATCTTAGCGGAATGGTCAGGGGGAAGAATCCACAGTAACTCATGGTCAGGCCCATAATCTGTACAATGATCTTCCCTTATTTTAAAATGAACTGACGTGACTCCTGGGCACTAAAAGTTCTTCTCAGAAGTCAGTTTTTCCTGTGTCAGGTGGGAACCAGTTGACTTCAAGCAATGCCCCCCACCAAAAATTTATTGCTTTCTATCTGTAAGGAAGTTCCCCGCCCATGTCATGATGCATCACAAATCGTTGTGTTGTGACCACACTGACCAAATTGAGGCGATCGGACAGTCCACGAGTATGGGCACCAGTCTGTCTAGGAAGTTAGAGTGCAAAACCGAAAGAAAAGAGCGATGGTCGTAAAAACGTAAGTGTCCACGAGTTCACAGTTTGATAGAATGTAGTCTGACGCTTGCTTGTAGGCCCTCCCCACCTAGTGTGTGATGTAACATCAGGTGGACAGCTCAGGTGATCGGGGAAAGCATGCAAGGCATCGACGAGTTCACACCTTGTTGTGATCCCGTCTGGGGTAAACATTGCATCTGCTTATCGAGATTTACAATAGAGGTATCATCGCGTTCATGAGAGTGAATGATCCATGATAGTAAAGTACTATCCTATCCTATCCTATGCAACGGACCGTACAATGATGGCACATTTTCGCTACTTGGTTGATCAGCTGAGCGCGCTCAGGTTTCTTTTTCTTTTTTTTTTTCTTAAATAAAGAAAAAAAACAACTAAATTATGACGTGAAAAGCGGGAACTAAATTATGACCTTAAAAGTGGGATCGTAGCCTAATGTAACTCCTTCAGTGCGGGATCTTCGGGGTGACTTTTATATAGTAAAAATTCTGTTTTTCCAAAGAAGCAGGATCTTAGGCGAACCGGGACCATAAGCAGTGGTATCTTAGGTGGAAACTACTGTATTAATGTATACCATTCTATTTGTTATTCACATTCATCCAAATATATCATTCTGTATTTCATTGATGACATTTTTTTATTTCCTTCATTGTCTTAAATGTACCCCAGATTCTAAGCTGTCACAGGATGCTACTCCTCAAGGCCAAACAGCTCACTCGAGATACTCGCTGTCATCTGGCGGTGCTCCCGCCTCGGCAGGATCTACGCCGTTCAGTGAGTAATTTTTGCGTATAGGACGTTTATGACTAGGTCGGCAGGAATGCTGTGTGGGTGGTTGACGGGTGCTTCGGTGTGGTTTGCTCCTTCTTTCTTTTCAAACGTCTATCGTCCTGAACTCTCCTCCTTTATTTATATTTATGTTTGTTACTCTCTTGTTACACTTCTAATCTTCGGCACTTATATGACCTAATTGTGTTGTCAGTGCTGTAAAACTCTTACTAAAATTAAAAAGGGATTCTGTTTATCTGGAAAATACCAGGAGTTCCTGAAATGTAAGTTCCAGGTATTCCAGGCTTCTGTTCACGTGTGATGATCAGTGCCTCCCCCCAATCTCTTTTTAAATGCCATGTCAGCCTTTTTATTTCAGTTTAGTTTAGTAAGAGTTTTACGGCACTTTTAGTTTATTTCTTAATTGGTGGTTGGTGGGCACACAGTTCCTTCTCCTTTTCAGTGTTTCTGTTGTTGTGATCTATTCTTGGGGTAAGGGATGACTTCGGTGGTGTTTAAAGCTGTGCCCATTTGACTTTGCCTTTCAAAATTCACGATTTTTTACGTTATTCACAGATATTTGAAGATGGTGGAGGTATTCGAATGCCATGTGGTATTTTTAGATAATTTTTTTGGGGGATAATAGATTTTTGTCTTTTTTTCCCTCAAATTGTAGTAAAATTAGAGCATATTATATCTAAAATCATTGAAGCAAAGACAACAGAACTTTGTACTTGACGTTTACAAGATAGAGTGATAAGTGGAGCCAACAAACATTATAAAAAAAGTGCCTCTAAGATGTATTCAGTACTTTGCAATATTCACTGTTCACACCAGAAATAGCTCAGGGGCATTTGACTCTCAAAATGCTGCAAACGTTTTTCCATGAAGTTAAAAAAAGTATGCTGTTGTATTGAGCTCCCCTTCCCCTATTTGAAATTTCAAGTGAATGCTGATATGACATCAGCGTATTGCACTGTGTATTGCACTGTGTGTGTGCCAGCAGGTGCGTGCTCAGCGAATAGCACTGTGAATTGTCAGAATAGTCAGTGAATATTGAATTGCGGAAGTTAGGGATGGACTTGTCATATATATAAGAGATTATCATTCACACACGGTATTTGATTGGCATAAATAGTTACCTCATGCGTTGAAGCGTTGATGAAGTTTTATTTAGTGTGTATGTGTGTGTGGGTGGGAGTGAGGGTTGGGGGTGGGGGGACCAAAGCAAACTCACCAAGGGGAAGCTGTGAACTGAATTCTTCTTTGATAAAAATTTGACTGTAAACTTGTTTTCAAGCAAAAAAACAAGAACCTGGAACTATTCCATAAGGAAAAAGTTAGTGTTGACTTTCCGTTTTGTCGTAGTTTTGTGAACATTTTCTTACTTAATGTACTAAATGTATGAGTGTGATGATCTGTTTCCAGTGGGACCAAGTGGTTCGAACATTCGACCTGGACCAAGTGGCCCACCAATGGGCCCTCCAATGAGTGCCCCACCACAAAGTGCCCCGTGGGCTACCCCAAGTCCCAGAGGTCCGCTAATTCGAGCACCATGGCATGGGCCTCCAGGCCTTGCAAAGAACTTGGTGGTTGACTTCACAAAAAGTGCGCCACCTCAGGTAAATTTGGATTCTCCTGTATGATATGTGTCCCTTCTTTAAACCCCAAGGTATTTAAGAAAACGAGAATTCCTGATTAATTGTCCATCTCAAATAGGTGGCAAGCCTTATAATCTCCGGAAACAGTTATTGACATCCAGATAATAATAATAATAATAAATAACATTTATAAAGCGCTCAACCCTGTTTAAAGTGCACAGACTCTGAGCGCTTTACAATACAGTACAACGTACAACAGTAACATAAAATGTTGTGTTCCGACTAAAAGAAAATTACTCATCTTATTAATTTAAAAAAAGAAACGACTTCTGCTGACATTTGAACGAATCAAAAGATTTGATCTCTCTTAAAGTACTTAGTAAAGCATTCCAGATATCGGGGCCTTGATATTAAAATACCCTTTCACCCATTGTTTTAAGTTTCATAGATGGTAAAATAAATTTCTTTTTGTCAGCTGATGACCTTAAACTGCAAGTTGGAATGTACAGTCTTAACCGATTTGATAACTATGATGGTGCATTTATCATTTGTGACATAGGGTGGACAACTTGTACATAATTCTTTTCTGAAGAGGAAGCCAATGCAATGTCCGTAAAAGATGTTTAGAAGAGTCTCGCTTTCTTTTCCGTAAAACTAAACCTGCAGCATTGTTTTGGACACTTTGAAGTCTTTTAACTTTCTCCAGTGATATTCCTGATAACAAGGAGTTACAATACAGTTTTGATGAAATTAAGCTAGTTACTAGTAAAGCAGTATACTTAGTATTGATCAGATGACGTATTTTACTAATTTTTCTTATTTCTCAGTACAGTCGAACCTGCCATAACGGCCACCTCTATAAGATGGTCACCTGTACAAACGGCCACTTTCCTTTTCCCTCCTTGCGTTTTTTCTATATACAGTAGTCTCCGCCTAAGATCCCACCGCTTACGATCCCGGTTCGCTTAAGATACCGTTGTTTTAGGAAAACATAATTTTTACTATACAAAAGTCACCCTTAAGATCCTGCTCTGATGGTCTACATTCGGCTAAGATCCCGCATTTCAGATCATAATTTGTAAAACAAAAACCCGGGCAGGCACAGCCGATCAACATAGAGTGAAAAGTTGAGATCAATAAACTGTCCGTCGCGTCAAAGATCAACCACTATCGTGAATGTGATCACATACACGTTGTAAAACTCGATGAAGCAATACAATGTTTGCCCCAGACGGGGTCACACCCGGGTGTGAACTGACCGACGCGTTTGTTTTCCCCACGCATCGCACTCACTCCTGAGCTCGCCACCTAAACTTGCATCACTTGCTGGGTGGGTAGGGCCTACACGTTCACTCCAGGCAGGATCACATCGAACCGTGAACTCTTCCTTGATCATTGCAGCAGTTGTCTGTACTCCCGAATTTGCGAGACAGACTGAATTTTAATTGGTGGGTTCACAAGGTAATGGTGTGTAACGACAAATGCGGTTTGGAGGGGGGGGGGGGGAAGGGAGACTCTGTCAGAGATGGAAAGCTATACATTTTTGACAGGTAAAGAGGAGGGGCAACTGGATAAGCGTAGATCTTGAGACTCATGATAGGATAATAAGTGAAAATGGCACGCCTCATGCCACTGCACCGTGATAGGTCATCAAGGTTAACCACTCTTTGCTCGCCATGTGCCATAAACCCACCAAGGGGGCACGTCAGTTCATTGTAGAGTGGAGGGAGACCATTTTACCGATTGTGGGCCTTAACATGGGTCACCATAGATTCTTCCCTGGGTTCATCGGTTAAGATCCCGGTTCGCCTAAGATCCCGCATTTCCATGCTCCCGAGCACCGGGATCTTAGGCCGTCCAACGCGGCAGCAGCCACCATATTTTAACACACAACCCCTATCACACCAAGCAATAACACCTGTCTTAGACGGCCACCTTAGTGACTCCATTACATTTTGTCATAAATCGTACATTGGCCCCTGGCGTTGTGGGCGAGCCGTCATAATCCAATCACCTGTCGTTGTTCTTAGGTAGTCACTTCAACCGATCATGTTGCGTAGGCCCCTCCCACTGTGGACCAATAGGTAACAAATTTTCAGCTGCTGGTGAGGTAAGCGCTATAGGTAAACGTGTGATCCCTCATAAACCATAAGCCACGCCCAGAACTCATACACAAATTGTAAGTGAGATGAGTGGTCACTTTTACCCAGTGTGTAACAAAATATCAATGGACGTCAACATGAACTTGTGACAGAAGCGTCGCTCGTTCTCCGAGTGGTGGTGACCCATATGTGTTTGTTTTACCATATCACTCGGTCCTCCTTGTCTGACACATTTCGTTTTATTGCCACCCTTGCACAAAAGCAGCAAAAAAAAAACCCAATAAGAAGAACACCCCCCCCCCCCCCACCCTAGAGAAAGCAACAACAACAACTGTAACAACAACAACAATGCGGCAACCTCAGAAAGGAAGGGTTTGTTTTCCTCATCTTGATCAGTCCTGCTTAAGACGGCCACCTGTCTTAATACGGACACTTTTTTCCTTGACAATGGGTGGCCATCTTACACAGGTTCGACTGTACATGCAGCTGATCTGATGATTTACCTCAGCCGACATTGACGAACTGGAATCAAAATAGATGCCAAGATTCTTAACTTTTCTTGAAAATGCAGTTTCTGCATCATCATTGTAGCAGGTGGTTGAAAGATGAACTGAGAGGTCCTAGCTCTTTTCTTTTCCTCTGTTTTTTCTGTCTGTATGTCTTACTTTTTTCCACCAGTAAATGATCTTTATTGTCCTGATGCTCTTCTCTTTACTCACACAAATAGGAGATCATAGTCCAGTATAATTGCAATTATAAAATAAAGTTAAGGGTACTTTCTCAAAGTTCTCAGCTGGTGTACTAAAATCTTTTAAATACAAGGCCTATTGTCAGTTGCAACTGTGAGCCAAATTTGTTTATTAATAAAAATAAAAAATATATTATTTCCAGATGCCACGCCCCCCCTTGGAGATGTACCAGAATGCCTTTGCTTCACCTGCCTTGGTTGTCTGTCCCCCACCGTCGCTGAATGTTCCTACACCATTGCGGAATGCTCCTACGCCATCGATGCCGAGTATTTCTGAGTGGCCAGTGCAGCGAAAACGGACCGGACCACCGCCAGGCACGAAGATCACAGAAGAACGTGAGGTAAAGTGGCCATGGATCTTCGGATAATATCCTCGTGTGATCTGAAAAGTCAAAAAGTTTTTTGCCTGTGGTGAGGGAGGGAGGCTGTGCAAATGCCTTGTGCAAAAGAGAAAATTTGATAGGATAGTACAGAGCTGCCAACCATACACCAAAAAAGCGTATTTGTAACTTTTTTCAGCAATCGTAAGATTTACACCACTTTGCCGATTTGTAGGACTTTTTGCTCGATCCGATCGATCGTCGAAACAAAATCTCGCTCCGTTTCCGCCCCGATTCGTGGTCGCCAGCGGTCCAATCTATTATTAATAGGCCCCTATAACAACGAATGTACTATCAGACGAAGACACACGCACCTTCATCGTGACTTCCCTTGATTGATTTTGACCTCATTTCGTTTTGTTTAGGCCTACTTTCGCCGAGTTCGTGTTGCGAGTTGGCTTGGACATCTAGACTGTTACTGGTTTAGACTAGAAAAAATTCAAGACCAGGGTGGACAGTTGTCTTTCCTGGAACTTTCCAAGTGTATGTTGGGTATCCTGACTGCTCCACTCCCAATTCCACCTGTGAAAGAATGGTTAGTTTTATCAGGAGAAATAAGACAGACTTTAGGGCTTCTCTTTCCCATAAAATTGTTGAATCGATCAGCAATTGCAAAATAAAGAGTTGCCCAAAGTCATTCAAAGAACCACTGACAGATGACGTACTAAAGTCAGCAAAGTCAGCAACTGCAGCATGCCTCTCTAAGAAAACACAGCAGTACAGTTTGGAAGGCTAGTTTTTATGATTTTTATGAGAGTTTTAATTGCGTGTGTGTCGAAATAGTGATATCTATTATATTGTACAATTTTTAAAAAAATCTTACACCTTTTTAAGCTAAGATCTTACACTTTTGTGGCCGGTGGGGTTTGCAGCTCTGGTAGTGTCGTGATAATTTTTGCAGTGTATTTTACTTTATATGCGTCATGTGGGTCCCAGCCCAATCAAATGCTTATTTATTTGTTATTCAACTAGGGAAGCTTGCTTGAAGTTATTTGAATGTTTCCTGTACATATCTTTGCTTATATTCTGATAAAAGTCCTCACCCTGTCATTTGTGTGATATATTTGTCGTAATTTATATTTCTTTATATTTTTTTTTCGGAATGTCCCAATTTTCCATACTTACCAGTTCCCCCCCGATGAGAATGGATTCTCTTTATGTTTTCCTCTTCCTTAATTCCGGCATCAATTTTTCCAAAAGTTGACTTCTTGCAGCCGTTCAGATAGATAGGTTTTTGCAATTCATAAGAAATATTTCTTTTTTTGCAGATTGGTTTTTCTTTTCTCTCCCAATTTTAACACTTTTAGAATTAATTTTGATATATGCAAGACATTGTTCACATCTTTGACTTTATTGTTCTAATTTATATTTCAAATTTGAAAATGAGAATCATTAACTGGCTTCTATATATTATACATTATTAGAAACAATATAACTTTATGACAGTTGCATTATGTGAAAATTATTTCTTCTTAAGAGCTGAATTTGATATCTACTACACAAGAACTGAGTGACTACTTTTATTCCTTTTTCCATATGAAAACCTTCCCTTTGCTGTCTGTTTGTGGCTATGGCAGATATTGTTTAATTGTCATTTTTTGATGTTGGTTTTCATGTCATGTGGGTAAGGAGGGATGTAAATAGTCTTCTATGCCATCTGCAGGGACCAACACTACCCTGCAGGCATGGTGCCACCTATATGCCACAACCTCTCTGACATAGGGATCACATGTTTTCTCAAATTATGTCTTCTACTTAACTCTTTTTGATGCTGATCTGTCGGCTGAAAGTCTAGTTTTTTCCCCAAAATAGATTCATGATACCTGCGGTGTGCTTTTGTATTGACCTATTTGTGCTTAGTAAGGCATTAAGCTCATGAAAAATGAAAAGGAGCCTTCCTATTTTTTTTTTCTCCTGAGTGTCGACTGCCCAAATGACTTGCCTTTGAAGTGACTTGTGTGTGCCTGCTGTTCATTAAAAAAACCCTCAAAATAACTCCCAACTGTTTTCCCCCCAATAATGTTGTCTGTGCACCAACTAAGTCTCTCATGCGTTTTCCAGCCATTTGTGATGCGACAAAAAACAACAACTACCAAATGCTTTCCCCTAACAGTGTTGTCTGTGTGCTACTGACTCTCTGATGCGTGTTTCAGCCAGTCGTGGTGCGACACGTCCAGCTGCCACGACAGGCCCGCCTCACCGCCGAGCAGGTCAACTACGAACTGCAGACGTGTATTGAAGATCTGGCCGCCTCTGGGGACCACGTGTCTCTGGAGCTGGTCGAGAACTTGTTACTTCAGAAATTCAAAGTGAGTAAGACGGATGGGTGGTTCTAGGACGCCACTTGTAGGACCTACTTCTCTTTTCTTTCTTTTCGTTGTTTTTGTCTGTCTTTCTGTCCAGCATTAATTGGTCGTTATTGTGTCTGCACTCTTTGGTCACTTATGCATTTAAAACTCTTAGCTGGAGTGATGAACGGTGGAGGTGTTGTATGCTGTCTTAGAGTTTTTAAAAATTAATACACAATTGTGGAGTATCTGACCTAGGTTTATTTGCCAAAGGTTTATTTAATTGCTGTTGTACAAGTCATTCTTCTTCTTTTTCTCCTTCTTCTCCTTCTTCTTCTCCTTCTTCTTCTTCTTCTTCTTCTCCTCCTCCTCCTCCTCCCTCCCCCTCCCCTC